ACACACACACACACACACAGACATATGAATACTCAAATTGAAGAATTCTGTTGTTTCAGGTTTCTAGATTTATGTTTATCATTGTCATATTATACATTTTGCATTCTGCTCTTTTTATGTAGATTTCAAGTATTTTAGTTCATACAATAATACATTTATTTCAATCCCCTGCTGAAAAAAAATAGAAACCATCACATAAGTAATAGTTTTACTGGTTATAATGAAAATTGTATTGGTTTTAATGGAAACCGTAATGGTGCCTGTTGGTATCTACTGGTAATTGGTCACCTTTTATTCATGGCTTTTGTTAAAACCACTAAATCCTAATGTAATATGTCCCAAAACACACTTCAGGAAACCATTATTTAATGGTTTTAATGGTTAAAAGTTGATGGTTTGTAATGTCAGTAACGGTATTTGTAGTGGAAATCATTAGAATTTCTGTGATGGTTTCTATTGTTTTTGTCAGCAGGGTCACCATGGCTTTTGTGATGTTATTTGCCATAAATGCGATAGGATTGCTGTAATATTGTGAGATAGTAGCGACTGCTTGTAGTTGTGGTGGGCCTATATATACTCCCAGTCCGTCCCTGACTTCTGTTATTGGACAAATACCGAGATCCGGACCTCGGGGACCTCAGTGGTGGGTACCGCCCTGAGCGAGGCCCATGCTTCCTGATCAAGTGCGCATCTGCGTCTGAGTTGCTTTCACATTCACGCAAACCGCTCCACATGAAACCGAATTCAGACCACCTCCTTCAGGTAGTCTCGGGTTCGGTATACCGGGTCCGCATGATCTATTCAGCCGTTTTTGTCATACATTTCAAGCTAATTTTGTTGTTGTTGCATGAAGTTTGTTTTTGTTATAGTAATGAACTGTTACAGTCTTCTGTCAGATTATAGGCGTTCAAAATCTTCACGCGCCACTCGCATATTTTCAATTAAAGTACATTATGGACGCCTCTTGGTCATTTTAAGTAAACTTTTGGCGGCTGGTTTGCGAGTTTAGCCTGCACGCCCTGCGCTTCTCGTCCGCCTTTATAGTTTCCACCGTGATATATAGCTCTCTAGAGAGAAGCGAACAACGCTCGAGTTCGACATAACATCTGTTTAGACGCAGAAGGTCCTCACAGTAACAGATATTATAGCTTTGAGGCGTTTTAACAAACTTACCGTGACATGTGAAGGCATTTGTTAGATTTAGAATCCTCCGCAATAGCGTCTCTGGAATGAGCACTTCCTGTTTCACTTTAAGCAGTTCCGCTAAAAACGTGATGACTTGTGTCACGTGCTGTTTGCTATTGCATGCTGCACTGGAGTAAACAGCCAACAGATACCGGCACAAATTGTCTGCTTGTTGTTGACACAAATATAGAAATATAATTTTTGCACCCCTCGAATAGAGAATTATCATCATTAAAAGAGAGAGCACGAGAGAATGAAAAATAAAAGAATCAATTAAATTAGATTGTTATTGTGGACATCAAATACCCTTCCCTTAATACATTTTTTTTATAACCCATGCTATATTATTATTATTATTGTGGAAGACATTTATCATTACACTTCTGGACAGGTCTTTGAATGTCCTTATTGCCTCTTCCAGAGCTTTCACTATATATTCAGTGATGGAAACCGAACTTGTGCTGATTTCTCTCCCCAACTGATTAGCTTTCTTTATCCAGTAAATGAAGACAATACAGCCAGACTTTTGTTGGAGCCACATGCTGTGGATTCTCATTTAACAGAGTGGGGAGCTACAAATGCAGGGCCTCCATGCAAGTAGTGGCTAATATTCGCAGACATTTTATTTCACAGCTCGTTTTCCTTCAATTGAAAGTTCATGGGTCTTCTTGACCATGACATTCAGTTCTCCCTTTGTCTTGGGAAAATGTCCGATCAAACCCCATGAAGGCCTGAGCTCTGTACAGTAGCCTACAGCTGTGAACACATGTGTTGCAGTTTTCTGCTCAAACATCTGAGGGTAGGTGATCTGGCCCAGCTGGGACATAGTAAGCTGTTTGAATCTGGAGGTTTAGTAATACACTGTTACTCTGGACTGCTGGCTTGATTGATGATTTGGTGTCACACAGATACTAGACAGATCCTCTCAATTCCACCAGCCCTTCCATGAAGCTGGCTTTCAGGGAAGCACTTACATCCAGGAGACTGGACTTACTAGAGAGAGAGTCAGAGCTACTGAACTTCAAATCTGTCAGAGGCTGTGGACGAGTGTCCAAATCTTCATTCAAGGATTTCTTATTCCACAGAGTAACACCTGAAATGAGAAATGGCTTTCAACTCTGTGTGAGGAAATACTGTTAGGAGTAAATGTGCAAACGTTAGTCCTCCTGTGAGCTAATATTTCCCTGTGGATATTTCCAATGCCTATAGATGACTTACAATTGAATATTATTGTACAGCAGTATTTAGATCAGATCTATTTATCATGACTACACATAATAAACACTGATAGATCTAAAGATCTAATTTATGGATGAACAGCTGCTGCAGAATATATTCCAAAATTCCAAAATAGTATTACTGAAGAATAAATGAACACATATCTGTGTGTGCAGCAGAATGAACTGCCATGATGTTAGCACTCCAGTGGGGAGAAGATGTAAAACAAGAGCAGATGTAATATGTACTGACTCTTCTGCAGCACTATCAAGCCTTGCAAGTGGATTAAAATCGTCAAGGCAAGACATTACATATGAGATTATTGCAACTTTTTTTTAAGATTAAGTAATGCAAGCTAAATGTTTCTGTGGGCTCCTGCTCATATAGAGTGGAGGCTAATGAAATGGTTGATAAGCGAGCTGTGAAACACACAGAGATAGATGCACAAGTGTGGAACTGTGAAAGAAAGGGCAGATATCTGTATAGCATGAAGCAACAAGTAGGCAATGGGAGAAAAGTTTTTAATAACAGGAAGGAAGATTCAATTACTGCTTAAATTCGAATAGAGCATTCTGGACTAAATCATTCATTGTATAAAATATGAAAACCTGAAACAAGGCAGTGTAATTATTATGAGCAAACAAAAACAATAGAGCATGTACTAATACAATGTAAATAAAAAAAAAATGTATAAGAAAGAATAGAACTTAAGGAATTAAAAAGACATCCTTGGAAGAAAAATAAACATTAAATTTGAAAAGCCTTCTGAAAGAATCCACAGAACAACATAAAAATATAGTGTTATATTAAGATTTCTTAAAGGTTTCTTAATATTAAGATTTCTTATTAGGATTATGCAGGATAATTTAAAAATGATTGTTTATTTTCACCCTCCTGTGCTTCACAATTCAGTCCAGTCAGTGGCAGTACTGCACCAGAAGTTGCCATAAATAACGCTAGGAGAAGGAAGAGAAAGAGAAGAAACAATGCATGCATATAATAGTTTGTTTGTTTGTTTTTGTTTTTGTAGTCATGGTATGCAATAGCTACTGTTCAGCAGTATGGGTAAGATTTTTTTTTTTCCAAATAAATGAATAATTTTATTCAGCATGGCTGCATTAATCTGATCAAAAGTGACAGTCAAGACTTTTAAAAAGAGTTACATTTCAAGCACATATAGTTGAATTTTCAGAACACTGAAAAAAAAAGATTTCTGAATTAGAATGATTTCAGAAGGATCATGTGACACTGAAGACTTGGAAATTCAGCTGTGCATCACAGAAATTAATTACATTTTAAAATGTATTACAATATAAACAGGTATTTTAAATTGTAATAATATTGTACAATATTAGTCTTCTTACTGTTTTATCAAAAATGAAGACTTAAGACTGAGTATAAAAAAGAATTATTTCAAAAACACATTTTATTTCTTTCTTTTTCGCTTTGATTTTGGGGTAAAAAATGTTTGCGAGAAAGTTGACTTTAGCTATATACAGTATTTATGTATTATAAATAAATTCTATGTACATTATATATATGTAAGAGAGAACACAGAGAAAACATATCTTTTGCATTGATATACAACAGTAGAGCGCAGGAGCAGCAGGTGCGTCCTGTGTGTGTGGAAGAAAATCTCCACGCTTCACTGCAACTCTACAGGAGAAACTTCAGCTCATCAACTTCAGAACCTGTTCTGTTTTACTGAAATTAAGAAAGGGAGTATACAGAGCTGAATTATTTATAAGCACTGAATCAAATAAACTCTAGTCAAACTAGAAGTGTGGCCTGAAACTCAGATTTGCATTTGTGGAGGAGATTCAGTTCGTCTCAGAATAGTGCCTGTGTCTCCAGTGCTGCATGTTCAAACCACGAGAGGTTTGTTTACAAGAAATAAAGATTTACAACTCAAACCACAGGAACTGTTAAGCTTTATCATTCATTTTAACTTAATCCATCTGAATAAGGCACTGAATGATGCTCTTGACAAAAATAATGTTCTTAAGCTTCATCACAAATAAGTGCTCTAGCATCATGCTTTTGTTTAACCCCTTAACTGTCACCCCCCATTTTTTTAAAATAGGCAATAAAGTGCACTATCCAAACTTAAATTGTTTTAATTTATGAACACTTTGGAATACAGACCTAAGGTTGGTCTCTTTTTAAAGAAGAAAATCAGCAGATTATTGCAAAAGTGGAATTAAAATAAAAATAAAAATCAAGTATCAAAAAGTTATAGACGTTTAAATTTACTGTAAAGAAAATGCGCTATACTCATTTTATTTTATTTTATATATAGTAAATATTTTACATAACAGGTTTTACTCTAAAATTGGTATAAATTAAAGCCTTTTGTCTAAATAAGTTGTGTTCCAAATTTGAAGTTGATATGAAAAAAATGAGGTTCCTGTGAGATTTTATTTAGGGCGTTATACTACAAACAACCACCGTTTGGTGCCATTAATTTTTTTATGCATTTTTCTGTCTCAAATGTCTAGATTTCTCTGTAAATCTTACTTCTATCTCAAAATACCCAAAATACACCAAATATAGAATCCTGAGACTCAGACCTTTCTAATGATATGTATTTTGTCAAGATTATAAAAAGTTTTCATTGTGAAATACCGTAATACATTTTGTAATATGACACTTGACACTGCCTGCTAAGCCAAGTAGGTATAACTGCAGACCGGAGATCTCCAAAATGGGGCGTGAACTCCAAAAGTGGGCAGAACCTCCAAAATGGGGC